GAGATACGATAACAAGGTAATATCAACAGCAGGGAGAAAACTCAACCATAAACAGTAGAAACGATAAAGGGAAACACTGATGAAAACGAAGATAACCAAGTAAGTTAACACGAACATAGCTGGGACACAGACAAGTAAAAGGTACTCAAATAAGAAAGGCGATGTCAACTCAATAAATCATATCATTTCGGATGCACAATTTCAGCCATCTCAAACTCGATGTCTCATATCATAACCTCAACTACCAAACCTTTAGCACACCCGGCACCTCGTGCCCACATATTTCTTATCACTTTGTGCAACGACGTTCTCATGTTACTCAGTACATATGGTCCATAACCAATGCAATTAAGATGTTCAAGGAGTCTCATATACATAACAAAAGTAAAGTACGTTTTCTAAACCAACTAGGAACTCAACAAGAGAAGATGGAGTTATTATTAGAAATCATTTGAATAAAGAAGGTATCATTTTCAATTACGATACCACATCGGATNTATATATATATAAATACGGCGATTTATTGTAAACTCTATCGATTCCAACACAAAGGATCATAGCAGTAAAGGAATATAAACAGTTAAAACACTTGAATTGGTAACAACAAATACAACGGAGATAAAATAATCACAAAAAGAGTACAACTTAATACAGAGATAACAACCTGGGATCTCCCAAGATACCGTCCTGTAGTTCCAAATGTAAATACTAGGGGATCTCTCAGTATCCTCTATATATGAGCTAGGGATCTCTTGGTATCCCGAGGATCTCTTGGTATCCTCAATATATGTGTTGGGGATCTCTTGATATCCCGAGGATCTCTGGGTATCCTCAATATATGTGGTAGGGATCTCTTGGTATCCCGAAGATCTCTTAGTATCTTCAATATAAGTGTTGGGGATCTCTCGGTATTCTGAGGATCTCTTGGTATCCTCAATATAAGTGCTGGGATCTCTTGGTATCTCGAGGATCTTTTGGTATCCTCAATATAAATGCTAGGGATCTCTTGATATCCCGAGGATCTCTTGGTATCCTCAATATAAGTGCTAGGGATCTCTTGGTATCCTTAATATAAGTGCTACAGATCTCTTGGTATCCCGAAGATCTCTTAGTATCCTCAATATAAGTGCTAGGGATCTCTTGGTATCCCGAAGATCTCTTAGTATCCTCAATATAAGTGCAGCGGGATCTCCCGGAATATCGTCCCATATTCCCAAATGAAACATGCAGTGGGATCTCCCGGGATATCGTCTCGTAGTCCCAAAGTAAACACACAGCAGTAACATGAGGAATACTCAAAAACAATACAACAACCCAATCACAAGGAATTCCACCACCAAGAGTATGAATACACGGCAACAAGAGAATCACGGAAAAACCAAGAAGTGTAATAACCTTAACCAAACAACGAGACACAACAGACACGTGATACCTAAACCGGCAACCACAACAATTTGGACTCATAGCATATATACACGGAGTCATAGAGGAATTTACAATTTAGAGATAACAAAATGATAAGAAGAACAATCGATTTAACTAAGAAAAATAAGGGAATGTAATAAGTAGGAGTTAGAGGGAAGCTAACAACATCGTATGGAGCATATAAAGGTAAATTAAGCAATTAGAAAACTCAATCATAATAGAATATTTCCCACATAATGGACATAAGGATTTAAGAACCTTAAAAGCGAATTTTCCACAAATAAGTCCAAACACACACTCGTCACCTCGCGTGCACGGACTACAAATAGCATAGAAGACTCAAAAACCTAAGGGGAAGTTCCCCACACAAGGTTAGGCAAGATACTTACCTCAATCCGTCCGATTCAATACTCAATTTAGTTTTTCCTTTACCAATTCATCAATGCTCGACTCAATCTAGCCAAAACGGCTTGAATACATCTAAGAATGCAAGAGAAAATAATTCTAATTAACAAAACTATGACTCAAAGATCTACAACTTTCGTTTTTGAATCATCTCAAACTTTCTTGTAGATCAAAAGATATAAGCTTCCGAAGTAAGACTAGCGATCCTGCAGAACATTTTGATGTGCGACGCACACCATTTTGTGCGGTCCGCATTGAGGTCCGCGATCCACAAATATTTGGTGCAGTCCGCACTCCCAAAAGTGCCAGAACCTTCTCAGAGTACCGAAATGCCCGGACTCGCTCAAAATTCACCCCAGAACTCATCCGAGGCCCCCGGGACCTCAACCAAATGTACCAACACATCCCATAACATCATCAAAATTTAGTCGAGCCTTCGAATTACTCAAAACAACACCAAAACACCAAATCCACCTCGAGTTCAAGCCTAAGGAATTAGAAACTTTCAAATTCCACAAACAACACCGAAACTTATCAAATCAAGTCCGATTGACCCCAAATTTTTGCACACAAGTCATAATGACATAATGGAGCTATTCCAACTTCTTGAGTCCGATTTTGATCTCGATATCAAAAAATTAACCCCTCGGTCAAACTTCCAAACTTCGACTTCTCGTTTTCACCATTTCAAGCCTAATTAAACTACAAACTTCCAAATAATTTTCCGGGCATGCTCCTAAGTCCAAAATCATCATACTGAGCTATTAGAATTATCAAAAATCCATTCCGAACCCAAACCAATTTCCCTGGCAAGTTACATAAGAACTATGAAGCATGAATTTAGCAGTAAATGGGGAAAAGAGGTTGTACTTATTCAAAACGACTGGTCGGGCCATTATATTTACAAGTCTAGAGTCGAATCCCACAGGAAAGTAACCTGCTAATAACAACCACTAGTTTCGCACGAATTTAAGTAATCAACCTTCAGAAATATTAAATAATAATTTGAATGTTTACTAATTAAGAGCAAAGTAATTAAAATGTAGTAATTTATAACTAACAAAGCAAATGTTATGGACAATATTTGGAAAAGTCTAGGGTGATTTTCCCTTATTGTCGGAATCCTCCACGCTACATTTCCTATAAATTCGCCTAAGTATTCTCTATTGATCGTGAGTACTTTGTGTGTCGTAATTATCTTCCGAGTAACTACCACAATTTACCAGACATATTTTTTCGAACTACGCTAGCTGACACTAATTTACTGCTCACTAAGATCGCACCAAGGTTTCGTTATTCCTAATCCCACTTTTAAACCCTCCGAATTTATTCCTCACATATGTTAGGAGTGATTTTGTTCAACAACTACCTAAATATAAACCCTTTTCCAAGCAATACATACTAAATAGGCACATTCAATTGATGGTCATTCAATCAACAACAACAAATACGTAGTTGAACAAGTAGAGAAATCCAACGGCTCAATTATTTAAAAACGTAATAAGAATTCATCCTACAAAAAGTTTCATCAAAACCCTAGATAATAAATTAGTTGTTCATAATAGTATGCAAAACTATAATACTAAAATTCATAACCAATAATGAAAATAGGAAAAAGGAAGTGAAAAACTCACAGAAGAATTCTCTGCCTTGCTCCTGGTGTGTTCTTGCCTCCTTAGGTCGAACCCCTCTAAAAAAATGCCTTCCCTTCTTAGACATATTTAGAAAATATTTATAGGCTAGGGTTGAAGACCATGAGTCCAAATCCGGGTCGGAGTCTTTTAATTCATGCACTTTTGATTATCGTACTATAAACCTCGCGAGGCCAGGCTTATAGCGTAGTCAGCCTAGCTACGGAGCTGGCTACGCCTGGACTGTAGCACGGTAAAGCTGGATACAGAGCTAGCTACGCTTGGCTTGTAGCACGGTAAAGCTGGCTACAGAGCTGGATACGCTTGGCCTGTAGCTAGGCTTGGGTACTTGGTGTTTTTGTGCTTTTTTCTTGCATTTTCGTCCTTTTTTCGTGCAACTTTCATTCTTTTCTTTCTTCTAATGATGCTACATATAAAACAACATAATTTAACTCACATGTCGCATAGTTAACCACTAAACCAACAAAATAGGCGAGTAGTGTACTAAAAGTATAGCATTTTGGCCAAACATCAGTCTAAAGAGGTGTACGCCCATCAATTCGGGGTATAAGCCAGGACGTTGAGGCGCGTTTTTGTAGCGAGGCAGAAGCCCAAGTTATTTTGTCTGCTAGTCTACTACTATCTCCCAAAAGCAATGAACAACCATTTTTTTTTATTTTGCGAATACAAAAAAAAAACTATATTCTTCTCCATAGCAGCAAGTTCAAAGTTTAAATTGCAGGTTAGCCATCCTTTTTATTCCTCTGTATAGAAAACTTTATTATTTTCAACACAAGTTACTTGTTCTTGTAAGTATCGTATAATNATATATATATATATATATTATTTATAGTTTCTTAAATTTTTATGTTATTTTAACTATTTAAAAATATTTACTGTAATTATATTATTTTATAAAATATTAAAATTAATACCCATGCGGCTTACGCACCGTGTCACGCCTTGCTGAGGCATATATAAAACGCCTCGCCTTATGCCTACGCCTTTTAAAACATTGGTTATCATAATACTGAAGTTTAAAAGTTGTTTTGTCACATAAAAACAATCGAATCATATGTGAATTACTTTGAAGATACAAATCAGAAGGGCAAATTTGCGACTCAAAAAATTACAAATGATAGAAAATATTAAAAAAGATTTGCTGTTTAAGATCTATTCTAAACCCATCATTGTGAATCTTGAAAATGTTGAATTTTTAGTATAATAGATTAATGCTTCAAATGTATAAAATAAGCGTTAATCTTTGTACATATTGCGGATTCAAAGTTCTAATCTAAATAAAAACTTCAAAATTAGTGTGTTGTATCTATGATCCATATTTTCCTTTGAAGGGGTGATTTAAAATTGTTACACTGCAACATACTACCATGATAGATATATATAACTTTTATTTTTGTTCAAATGAATATATTATTATATATGATATTACAACATGCAAACGCGCGCGTACCTGCTTGCAAACTATGTTGCGCAGACTCTTCAAAATAATTGTCACACTCGTGTCGGATCCTTCAAAAATATACCTACTTTTAGAGGATTCGATGCGCACCCATCGATATTTTAGGAAAGTCCAAGTAACATAGCTTGCAAACGATAATAATAGGTCAAAACAGAGGGAATCGAGGAGCAGACATTTCTGTATAATTCATTAACATCTAGGGATCTAAATTTGCTGATCTCTCAAGTACCAATTCTAAATTTCTTGACCTATTCATCACTGGGTGAATCTTTCTTTGAAAATAGGCAAAGTCTCCATACTTGTCGTGAAAGGGCGGCGTTACTGATTCCCACTGATTGCAACCTCTAATTTTGATATGTAAGACGCTCCCAATATCATTGATTACCTCGCAACATTGCCGTCGTGGTGCCTGTTTTTTCATAGAATGTGGAAAGTTTGTACATATATACTCATCAATCTTATGTTAGTAAAATTAATAAGAAATATTTCATCAAACTAAATAAATTAATCTCTCTATTCCATTTTATCTGACATTATTTCTCTTTTAGTTTGTTTAGAAAAGAATAACACATTTCTATTTTAACAATAATTTAACTTTAAACTTTCTATTTCTTACTGTGGCGACAAAAAATGCGTATATAGTACTCCCTCCGTCCAAAAAAAGAAAATACTTTTAGAATTTCGAGAGTCAAACTTCTTAATTTTGACAATGAATTCGGACATAAAAATCTTTAAGTTTTTAAAATAAAATTTATATATATTTAGAAACTACATAAAAACTAGTCAGAAGAATTAATAATTTAAAGTATTTAAAAGATATATGAAAAAATCATAGTAAAAAAACAACTGGTTTGGCTCTTGAAATGCAAAAAGTATAATTTTTTTGGGAACAGAGAGAGTGCTCTTATAAAGACCTTTAGTTCCAACTTCTTTTTTTCTTAAACTTTGTCAGCCAAGACAAACAGGTTCACATAAAAAGAAACATCAGAACTAGAAATTTACCTTTCTCCATACTTTGGGAGATAGCATTGGCGCGGTGACATTAACCATATGAACTGCTAAAGCTGGTTTATAATGTTGGTCCTCGCATTGTTCATTTGATTCACCAATTATGGTACTATAACTGATCAAGGTTTCACCATTGGGAAGGTCAACAACTTGATCCAAGTAATACTCTATAGGCCTCTTACACTGTTCTACATAGTTTGGCCGTGTATTGAATGTGAATGGCTCTTTTGACCCTATCCAAGTCTTGAACGTTCGTATTGGAGTCTCCAATTCCTTGACATTCATTAGCCATGGATATAATTGAACTGTATAACCCCATGACACTGATACTGATCAATTTCTCTTTAGGTCGTAACACAAACTATGTTGCATTGTCCGACTTGGATCCTTGTTATAAGCTTCAATTACCTTCTTCACTGACTCAACTCGGCTCATTGATGGAATTAGAGGGTAGAGCATGTCCAAATGGTGCAGTGATACTAGCGGCGCCACCGGATGTGCTGCCAAAAGCCCTCGGGCGCTTCCATTTATATCCATCTTAAACAAACAGATTAAATAGATCTTTCAGTTTTTATATAAGATATATAGTAATTTCTATTTGCCTTCCCTTTAACAATGAATAGGAACACATAACAAGAGGCTAATGAATATATTTCAAGCTTGTCTCTCTTTTTTTTTTTTTTTTTGGAATCAGATTTGAGTGTTTAAAAAAGAATTTTATTTTTGGAATGTCAAGGTTAAAGCGGGTCCAACCAACTTTGGATGTAATTTCGGACATATATCTTAAAAGTACATAAAAATCTACATATTCGACAACTAAAAAATGGTATCACTCCCTCACTGAGAAGATTAAAATATATAAAAGTAAACATACAAAAAAATCAAGGAGAGTTAACATATAGTGTATATACGCATAAAATTTTCTCGTGAAGGGATGTCAACTGACACCCCTTGCTATAAAGTGGCAGATATATAAATTTTCCCGCGAAGGGTGTCAACTGACACCCCTTGCTATAAGGTGGGTCCGCCACTGCTCCCTCACATTTTATCTAGCGTGCTTTTTTTTTAGTCTGTTACAAAAATAATATTTTTATATGTAGAAACGATTTAACTTTAATAAAATGATTTACAGTCACACAAATATCTATGCGCTTTCGAAAGCAAGTTTCAACAATTTATTTTTCTTTTTTAAATTTCATGTTCAATCAATCATTATCACATAAAATGGAAGCGAAGGAGTTTAAATTTTTAGAAAAAATATTTGATAAAATTCTAATCAAAGTAATACTTTTTTGATTCTCCAGATATAAATAGTGTTTCACAATTATCTACTAGTAGTAAGTAATTGTTAAAATGACAATGATGGAGTTGTACAAAAAGTAAAATCTTTTGATTTAAAAGATGTACGTATACCTGATGAAAACCATGTTCATTCGTGAGAGGAACTCCAATCTCAGCCATACAACCACCAATCCTCTGATCAGAATTGCACAAGTAATGGTAGCGATTAATGCAACCATCCAAAATCTTGACGAGTTCCGCCGCCAGAGGATAACTAATAGCAATTCCGCCGCCGCCGTAAGCCATAGTGTAGGAACATATTACGTTCTGCTCCACACTTTCAGAATTCCCACCAATGTAATACATTTGGTTATGATCATATTTAGCCAAAACCGTCACCAAATTCTCAGGAAAAAATACTGTATCATCATCTCCCATTACAAACCATCTCACATTCTTTAAACCTAGTTCAAAACTCTCTTTTACAATCCGCGCAATCCTCACTGCTGTCCTGTTACCAAACCAACACGTGTACTCGAAGTTGGAAGTATCTTCGGAGACCCTATAGGGTGGGGAAGTTTCGGGCCATGGCTCGTTTTCCTGGGACTTTTCATCGAGCCACACGAACCCTCGCGTTACATTTGGTCTCCACCAGAGCTCAGAGTAACGCGAGCGATTGGTCCATGTTTTAGCGGACCCTGCGATGCCAAAGAGAATGTGGGATATCTTTGTTTCTTCTTCTTCTTTGCTTATATTTTCTACAACTAGTTTATTTGTAACCACATAAGCATTGTAAGCATAGGAGATAAGAGATGTGGAGGCGACCAAGCAGATAGTAATAATTAGAAAGCCTTTCATATCTCTGCTTTCTTTAAGTGGAAAAAATGTCTTTCTAAAACGGTGAAGCTTGTTATGCTTCTTTTTCAATGGGTGGTACCCTTCTAATCTCACGAATTATTTACGATGTATTATCACTTTTAACCCGCGCCAAAAACTATTTACATATGGTAACCGAAAATACGTATAAATTTTGTATATAACATACATAATATATATATATACAAAATATTATACATCTTTTCGGCTATTATTTTGAGAGCGCCTATATAGTGTTATTTTTTCATTATTTACAGTGTTGGTTGATATTAGTTAAACTCTTTTTCTAAGGAACCTAGGTTATGCACTAACAACGTAAATTTTTTTAGACTATGCTATTGGTGAATTTTAACTTGCGATAGTAGTTTAATTACTATTCCTAACCAGGTTATCAATTACCGCTTACGAGATTTATTATAACTAATTAATGAGTGGTCTGATTGAATAAATATTTTTACGCTGTCAGTGTATAGAACTTAAACTATTTCCTTAAATAGATACAATCAGCATATATATTCAAACTTCTATTATCACAGCCTCGTTTGTTGCGATATTTGTTTGGCTGCTATAGTGAATTGTTGTTATAGAGGATATATATTTTAAAATAATATAAATATTGTTCTGAATTTTTTTTTGGCTTTTATAATAAATGCAGTCCTAAACTAAATGTGTATATGATATAACATAACAAGAATATCCCTTGATCAGTGGGAGGATTAATTAGCTAGATGAGTTTTAATTCGAGTTTTCAAATAATTTAATCACGTCTTATGGAGAGGTAAGGTTCTATTTTATTCTGAATATAAAATAGATTGGAGAGAACGAAGGAAGAAAAGTAAATTTTCAATTAAATCTTTCCCTTTCGTACCGTTATCACATCCAATTCGTAATGTTAAAGCATACCTAAAATAAAATTATTCTTTTCGTTTCACAATGTACGAATACATTGATGTTTGTAAAATTATTTTTGTGGTGCAATATATTTCATAGAAAAAGAGACAATCGGTGGACAAACGTTGAAATGCAGATCTCAAAAAGGCATTTTTATATTCACCTGGGAAGATGTATTATACCCATTTTTTAAGGTCAACTTAACTGTTTTCTGAAAACTTAAATCGGAAATTTGTTAAATATATTAAACTATACAATGATTATACAGGAGACATATTTTTATATTCAATGGTGTGGTATGATAATTTAACAGTCAGGTAATTGAGTATCGAAACTTGGATTACAAGTTTCATTAGTAAAAAAGGCGGGAAAATACATAAGTTGCTCCATATACTTGTCGCGAAAAGTTAATTTCACGCTCAACCTTTACGGTTGTTCTATTACCACCCTATACTTATCCAAGATAAATTTATTTACCCTCTAAAATGTCACAACCAAATAGACCCAAGTAGTGTTTACACGTGCTGACACCCTATCCTTTTTAAGGGTTAATTCAATAATTCTTTGTAAAAATGGTTAACCATATTGATGTACGACTTCATAAGTTTTGGATGTTTTTTCAGCCTAATTAAAACCTTAATAAGACGTTTAAAGTAATCTTGAAGTGTATCCAAGCCCACACAAATTAGTAAAGTCGTTGTGATACACGGTCATAGTCATGATACAAAGTAGACAAAGACGCCCCAAAAATAACAATTCACAAGTGGGATTTCAGGTGGGTCGCCATTGAAAAGAAGGCTTTACCGGCGACCAGGCCGTCTCAATAAGATTGTGGGCCTAAAGCCAAATTTCAGAGAGAGGCCCTAAGTAAGAATATCAAAGACAAATTTGCAATGAAAAAGTATAAAATAAAGGTAGAATAATAAAACCGGCTCAATAATTTAATAAGTTGATATACAACAATAATATACCGAGTAAAACCCCACAAAGTAGAGTAGTATACGAAGACCTTACCTCTACCTTAGGAGGTAGAGTGATTGTTTTTGATAGACCCTCGGCTTAAGAGAAAGCATGACAAAAAAAGGTCAGATAAGGACAATCAATTCAACGCAGTATGAAAATGAAAGTAACGAAAGCGAATAAGTCATGATAAAACAGTCTAAAAAGGAGCAGTAGCTATCACATATAAATAAGATAATCGAAGTATAAGAAACAATATATAGTTGCAGAAATCAAAGGGTAAGAAACTATAGAGCAAGATAAGTTGATATAATGATATCGAAAAGTGTTGCATTGCTTCAATCAATGATTGTTTGTTGTAATGCTTTGAAGAAGACAACTTGTAAGCCGCGGTAAGTTACCGATTGAGAGACTTTTCTATATTACGAATAAGAATAGTAAATGAGAGAATGAAAAAGGTAAATATATAAATAATAATATGGGCATGTATTAGTTGTTAGAATATAAATGAGGAAAAAAAATAGCTACCCTACCCATGTAAGGAAATAATTCATTAATAATTATTTCATTTTCTAATTATTACAATGATCCTCACATTAAAGTTATTGTACTTTCGCTCCAAAAATTCTTTGTAAATATAAACTTTTTTTTAATAATACATATACAATACATCTTTAAGGAAAAAACGGAGCGATTGCTTTATTGGCCTTATAGTCGAGCAAAAGTCACTACTAATGCTTTTGTAGCAACATGAGGTCGACACAAACAGAACTTAATTTTCTTGTATCCCTTTTAGAGGAGACTAAGGGTCGCCACAAATATTAACTTTTCGTTTAAAAAAACTAATATTGTACATATGGTTTTCCATTGTGTTGACCCAAGAATAGGTGATGTTTTGAAGACTGACAAAAGAACTCAGACATGGACCAAGTCCATTTTGTGAAGCACAGTCATGATTAACCTGCACATATGAGATGCACGTGAAAGAGATAAATTTAACTGATCAAGAAGCAATATCTCCTGATATGATCGAAAAGGTTGCATTGGATAAGGAGAGAAAGACTCCTTACATGAAGAGAACACACTTTAAGATGAAGATAGTGTTAGAGTTTGAGATCATCATAAACTCTTCTACGATAAAAGAGTAGCAATTGAATCCCAATCAAACTCTGATTACTAACCTATAAAATATCAGTGTTGTTCTCTGTTACAGGCAACGCACACAAACAGAAGTTAAACTCAAATTGAGAGCAAAAGAGCAAGGTGATTTTGCAAGAAATTTATGTGTGATTTGAGTGTGCAATCCTGAAGCTACTTGAACGAGATAGAAGAACCAGTTCCATGTATCTATTCTTTATTCTAATTTAATTATAGTAGGAGATTTTATGTTGTACCTTCCGCTTTCGTAGAAGCAATTGTATTAGGTACCTAGAGTGTTCAAGGTAGAGTTAACTTAAAGTTGTCGCAACAGTTGAGGCTGTATGCCACAACGGGATTAGAGTTAATCCTTAGGTTTACAAAGAGTTTTTGTAAATGCTGTTTTGGCTCAGTGATTTTAGTGGAAGTTTGGGAAAATCTTACTGAGTAGTAGGTCGTGATTTTTTACCTTTTGAGCCAGGTGTTTTCCACGTAAAAATCTCTGTGTTCTTCATTTTCTGTATTTATTACTCCACAAACAGTAGTAGTTGGAACACCTAGAAGAATCAGGTTCTTCTATAGTTCAGTTAAAGCGAAAATTGGGTACCACACAAATCACCCCCCCCCCCCTTTTATGTGGTATTGACGTCTAAAACATCAATTGGTATCAGAGTGAGTTATCCTTAAAGAGGTTAACACCTTAGGAAAAGATCAAAATGAGTGCACCACCTGGAAACTGGGAAGGGCAATCCACTGCTAGGCCTCCACTCTTTAATGGTCAGTACTATTCTTGGTGGAAGAACAGGATGAGAGATCACATCATAGGAGAAGACTATGAATTCTGGGACATAGTCACTGATGGTCCCCTAGCGACTACAAAGAAGAATGCTGAAGGAGTGGACGTGCCAAAGACAAGAGATGACTGCACTGCTGAACACTTGAAGAAATGGGAGAAAAATGTCAAAGCCAAGAAATAGCTTGTGTGTGGACTGGGTCCAGACGAGTACAACAGGATTCAAAGTTGTACCACTGCCAAGGAGATATGGGACACTTTACAAGTGGCTCATGAAGGAACTCCTCAAGTAAAGAGATCAAGAGGAACACTACTATATTCTCAATATGAGAATTTCACTATGAAGAAAAGAGAAACTATCCAGGAGATGTACACAAGGTTCACAACACTAACAAATGAACTTGAATCTCTTGGGAGAATTATCCTTGAAGAAGACAAGGTTGAGAAAATTTTGACAAGACTCTTACCAGTGACTTGGGAAAGCAAAATCACTGTTATTCAGGAATCAAAGAACATTGTTACTCTCAAGCTGGATGAACTGATTGGAAACCTCACTGCCTACGAACTAAGAAGGCAAACCATGAAAATGGATGCACCCAAGAAGGAAAGGAGTCTGGCTCTCAGAATAGCTGAAGGTGCAGAGCTGGAGAATGATGAAATGGCCATGATCACAAAGGATTTCAAAAGGTACCTAATGAGAGGAAAGGGTTCTTCAAGAGGTACAACCTTCAACAAACAAAGGGATCCTGAGAAATAGACCAACGAGGGTTGCTACAAATATGGTAAGACTGGTCAATGATCAAGAACTGTCCTCAATGGGAAATTGAATGGAAGAAGGAAAGCGTTGAACGAAGGAACAGGAAGAAGGAACAGGTTCAACCCAAAAGGAACAAAGGTTCAAGAAAGGCTATGGTTGCTACTTGGGGAGAAACATCAGATGAGGATTCAGAAGATCAAGTTGGATATGAACAAGCACTTATGGCTATAGGAGAATCAGATGATGAATAAGAGGTAAGTGTCCTTCATCTCAAAGACAAGATAAAATTTTTGTCTAAAGAGAGGTTATCTGAACTATTGCTGGACTTCATCGATGAGTCTGAGATAATTAACAATGAGAAGGAAGAGTTGTCTAGGGAGTGCGTGATCTTAAAAGCCAAATGTAAAAATCTAAAATTTAGGGCTAATGATAGTGATAGTAAAAATGTTGAGTTGAAGAACCAGGTTCTTGAACTTGACACTAGTGACCTAGAACTTAGGTCTGAAAATTTAAAACTAAAACTAGGAACAGGTAAGAAGAAAGTTGATCACACACATCTCACCTTAGAAGAAAACCTAGGAAAAATGAAGGATGAGTTGTACAGGAAAGATGAGAAGATAAGAGTCTTAAAAGAAGATCTAGGGAAGGTAAAGCATGAACTAGACAGAACTTGCAAATGAAATAAGGCTTCTGATTCACTTTCCTGGCTACAAGAACATCACAGTAGCAACAAGAGAGGACTTGTCTATAGGGCTCAAGCACCTAAGTGGGACCCTAAAGGCAAGTACCTCACTCTTCTTGAAAAAAAAATCTGCACAGACTGTGGCAAGACTGGTCATTACAAAAATGAATGTAATGCAAAAGAAAAGGCCAGTCAAAAGAACAAAGCCTTTGTTCAAGAGAAAAATAGGTTGCCTAGGTGAGCTAAAAGGAATTTGATTTACCCCCTTGCCTATAGAAAGGGACCCAAACTAGTTTGGATTCCTAAGACTAACCCCTGATTCCTTTTTGCAGGTCCAAGTGAAGGTAAATAGCCAAATATGGTACATGGATAGTGGCTGCTCAAAACATATGACTGGAAGCAAGAACCAGTTCCTTTCACTTGAGGACTTAAAAGGAAGTAATGTCTCCTTTGGAAATGGGAAAAAGGTGAGATTTTTAGGGTTGGAAAGGTAGGTAAGACAGACTCACACTCCATTGAGAATGTATACTTGATAGATGGTTTGAAATATAGCCTAATCAGTGTATCACAATTGTGTGACAGCATTTACCTCTACCAAATGCTTTGTAATTAATCTTACCACTGACAAAATTGTTTTGTAGGGAAAAAGTGTTAACAATATTTACATTGTAGATTTGTCTACTCTTTTAGAAAATAAACTCACATGCTTGAGTGTGCTGGATAATGATCCCCTCCTATGGCATAAAAGACTTGGTCATGCAAGTCTGAATCAACTCAACAAATTAGTCTCCAAGGACTTGGTGATAGGGTTACCTAAGAGTAGACAAAGTTTGTGAGGCCTGTGCAAGGGGAAGCAGGTAAGATCATCCTTTAAAAGCAATAAAATGGTAAGCACAACCAGGATGATAGAACTGGTTCATATAGATCTCTGTGGTCCAATGAGAACGTTGAGTAGAGGTGGTAAGAAACATGTGATGGTACTTATTGATGATTACTCTAGGTTTACCTGGGTAATGTTTTAACATCTAAGGATGAAGCATTTGATATATTTACTGCCTTTGTTAGAAAAACTCAAAAACAACTAGGTAATCAACTTGCATCAATTGGGTCTGATCATGGAACCGAATTTGAAAATGCTAAGTTTGCTGAATTTTGTGATGAGCATGATATAGATCATAATTTTTTTGCCCTTATGACTCCTCAACAAAATGGAGTGGTTGAAAGAAAGAATAGGACTCTTGAAAATATAGCTAGGACTATGCTTCTTTCTAGTAAACTACCTCATAGCTTCTGGATAGGGGCTATAAATACTGCATGTTACATCATTATAGATGCATGACTAGACCTTTTGTAGAGAAGACTCCCTATGAGTTACTTAAAGGGAGAAAACCAAATATATCCCATCTTAAGGCATTTGAATGCAAGTGCTTTGTGCATAATAATAGAAAAGACTCCCTAGGTAAGTTTGATCCCAGAAGTGATGAGGGAGTATTCTTGGGATATTATTCATATATCAAAGCTTATAAAGTGTATAATAAAAGAACTATGTGTGTAGAAGAAAGTGTATATGTGGTTTTTGATGAATTTAACATTCTTTCTGAGAGACAGGAATATGATGATGGAGTTATTGAGCTTGTAAGAAGCATAAATGAAATCACAGCCCATGCTAAACCTATACAAGAAGAAGGAACAGGTGATGGAACAAGTTCTTCTACCCAGGGCAACCTGACAGGGGGAACTGAATCAAATACCTCAATAGAATCTGTCCATGAGCCTGTTCCTCAGTAACAAATTATTGGAGGAAATCAGTTGGTTGTGAAACCTTATAAGTACCAAAGTTCTCATCTTATTGAGAACATAATCACTGATCCACCCTCTGGAATCAAAACAAGATCTTCGCTAAAGAATCTTTGTGCTTTTGATGCTTTCTTGTCTCTTATTGAACCTTAAAAATGTTGCTGAAGCGTTGCAGGATGCAGACTGGGTAAACGCAATGCAACATGAGCTCAATCAGTTTGAAAGAAGCCAAGTGTGGCATCTAGTCACAAGACCCAAGGATAGATCCGTAATCGGCACTAAATGGGTCTTCAGAAACAAACTTGATGAAGATGGAACGGTTACAAGGAACAAGGCAAGGTTGGTAGTCCAAGGATATAGCCAAGAGGAGGTCATAGACTATGATGAGACCTTTGATCATGTTGCAAGACTAGAGGCAATAAGACTCCTCATAGTCTTTGCGGCACACATGGAATTTACCCTTTACCAAATGGATGTGAAGAGTGCCTTCTTAAATGGCTACTTGAAGGAAGAAGTCTTCATTAAACAACCTACAGGGTCTGAAAGTAAGGAGTGTCCCGATCATGAATACAAATTGGACAAGGCCCTATATGGACTCAAGCAGGCTCCTAGAGCATGGTATGAACGCTTATCCAAATTTCTGCTTGATCATGGATACAAAAGAGGTAAGATTGACAACACCCTATTCTTTAGGGAAAAGGTAAGGATCTTCTTGTGGTTCAAATATATGTTGATGACATAATTTTTGGGGGCACCACTGACAAATTAAGTAAGGATTTTGCCAAATTAATGGGAAGTGAATTTGAAATGAGTATGATAGGTGAGCTTAACTTTTTCTTAGGCTTACAGATCAAACAAAGCCCAAATGGAACCATGATCCATTAGCAGAAATATGCAAAGGAGAGATCAAAAAGTTTAAAATGGATGAATCAAAAAAAATAGACACACCCATTGCAACTGCCACTAAATTGGACATCGATAAACCTGGTTCATCTGTTGATCAGAAGTTGTATAGGGGTATGATTGGTTCACTTTTGTATCTTACTGCCAGCAGACTTGACATAGTTTTCAGTGTAGGGCTTTGTGCACGCTTTCAGGATAATCTAAAAGAATCTCACTTGACTGTTGTCAAGAGGATACTGAGATATTTGAAAGGCACTACTGATCTGTGTCTTTGGTACTCTAAAGGTAGTAGTTTCAATCTAGTAGGGTATGCTGATGCTGATTATGCAAGTTTCCTTATGGATAGGAAAAGCACCTCAAGTATGGCTCACTTTCTTGGTTCATGTCTTGTATCATGGGCCATTTAAAAGCAGAATTCAGTGGCCTTATCCACTGCTGAGGCTGAATATGTTGATGCTGCCTCTTGTTGTGCTCAATTGTTGTGGATCAAACAGCAGCTGATAGATTTTGCCATTAAAGTTCATTGCATTCCTATCTTTTATGATAACACTAGTGCTATAAGTATGACTAAGAACCCGGTCCATCATAAGAGGACTAAGCACATAGATGCTAGACACCACTTCTTGAGAGATAACTATGAGAAAGGATTGATCACCATAGATTGCGGTGCTACTGATAAACTAATTGCTGACATCTTTACTAAAACACTAAGTAGAGAAAACTTTGAGAGGAACAGGTTAGAATTAGGGATGATTAAGATCACCCAATATGAGCAGCTCAGAATGACAATGAATTGTTTTTATTGAAAACGAAAAAAAATTGGTTAGGAAATCTGAACTTGTGTAAATAGCTAGATTAATTTTTACTTAGTCTCATACTGTAATTAGTATACTCCTGTGACATGTGTTAATGTGACTCACTAATCTCTTACAAAATTTTCTCTATTACAGTAAATTGAGGCATGTTTAAGAGATTTCTAAATGAAAAACCTGGTTCATCCGTATGGGGTCATCTGAAAGCTAAGGTATGTTTTCTATGCTCTGCACAATTAGAAATATAAATATTTAAATCATGAGCAGAAGTCCTAAAATTGTTCAATTCCTTAGAAAACTCTATATGTTAGCTTTGAACCAGTTCTGTCAGCCTAGAACTCTAAACCACAAAAAGTGCCTAAAATCTAGGGAAGATAAACCGATCATTCAAACCTGCAATTTCAGGTTGATTAGAACTCTAATTGACCACTGTTAAAATTTGTTGTTACATATTAAATGTGTATTTCTCTTTTAAATATACATCATTCCTTCTGCCATCTCCATAATTCCAAACCGTCAATCCTTCTTCACTTTCACTTGCCCTCCTCTCCGAAATTCTTATTCACAAATTCTCTCAAGAAACCAACGATCATGTCCAACCCACAAGACAATCTAGGAACTCCTCCACCACCCACTCCCTCTAATTCATCTACCCCTCCTCCACCTAGTACATCTCCCAAACCCAGGCTGAGAAGGGTGAAAATGCTTGCTCGGAAAACAGTAGCGTCTGGGGATCTCAAGAAGAAATTAAATGAGAAATTAAAGGCAAGCCAGGTTCAAGACTCTGACTCCAACTCTGATTTTGAGTCATACAAATCTGCCAGTGAGGGAGAAGAACCCGGGTCTTCTGACTCTGAAAAAACTCAAGAATCCCCTTCTAAGGCAAGTTCCTCTTTGTTTGAAAATCTAGAAACTAGGTTTGTGCTGGTTGGGCCTGTTAAGGAAGTAGAATTACCTAAGTTACGTAAGAGTGGAGGTAAAACGAAATCTGAAAAAGAAAAAGAGAGAGAGGGTGCATGTGGTGAAGAGAGGGGAAATGGGAAAAGAGTGATTGATCATTCACTCACTGTTGATTTTTCTGTGCCTGCTATCTTTGGGGTTGAACAAGAAAAGGTAGAAGAGAGTGGCAAGAAGTCAGAGGGAAGTGGTTCTGGTGAACCTGCTGAAGGGTTAGTTCATTTAAGCACACAAAGAGATGAACCTGGTTCATCTACTGAAGAGACTCTACCTGACCTGTAGAAAAAGGTTGGGGAAAGTTATGATCCTAAAAATTGACGAACTCCCACACCAAAAGCCCTTAGTGCTCCCAAACCCTCCAAGAAAAGAAAGGATTCATCCTCATCAACTGCTGAAATTTCATTGCCAAAAGAAAGAGCTACAAGAAGCAAGGTAAAGCAGAGTGAGAGTGATCTCCAAAAGGCTCTTGCTACGAGTAAGAAGAAAAAGTTGGCTAAAGGAAAAGAAAAGGTTATAGAGTCCTCAGAAGCTGTGGAGGTTGAGGAGATGGAACAGGTCCATTAGGAGGAAGTTCAGCCAATGAAGGTTCAGACCCCCAAGACCAAAAAGCCCAAGACTTCTTCCAAGAAGTCTTCCTCGGTGTCTTAGGCTGCTGAACCTTCACTAGCCAAGAGGACAAGGTCTGCAGTAAAAAGTAAACAAGCGAAAATTTCTGAAGATGAGGAATGGAGTGGAGAAGAAGTAGAAGATGATTCTGATGGTGAACAAGACAAGCTTGCCATGTTTAGCAAAAGAAAGATTAAAGAAAGACTGCTGAAAGACCTGGTGGAGCCAGGAATGATGAGACTGGTGGATGCCTTAGCTGCTCAGGGGTAGAAGGACATGGTCCTTCAGATGGATGGTAGGCTAGCTAGGAATGAGATAATTGAGTTTATGGCAAACGCAGAGGTTAAGTACAACAAAGTTAGCAGCTTTGTGAAGGGAGTTCAAGTGTCCTTTGATGCAGAAAAATTGGGAGAGATCCTTGGTATACCCTCTGAGGGGTTTGATGATTACATAAGGCAAAGGTGGCCTTGTCTGGACTCTCTTCTTACTGCCCTTGACATTACCAGGAGGTTCTGTGATGCTGAAGATGTGAATGAGTCTAGGGCTGTTCAGAAAAGTGAAATGAGGCCTTAGCACAAGGTCTTGTTTGAATTTGTCAATAAGTGCTTATTGCCCAGACAGGAGAGAAAGCATATTGCCAATTATATGGACCTAGTTCTTATGGAGTGCCTGGAAAGTGAAAGGCAAATTAATTGGCCCGCTTTCATCATCAAGCTGATGGACAGTGTCATAAATGGCTCCAAGGCTCATGCTACCCCCTATGGCTTTATTCTAACTACGAGTCTAGATAGGTGTAGTGTGCCCCTGAAGAAATGGGAAATGACCTCAAGCAAGGATCATTTTGGCATTAACACTCTAATCGCTTGACTATTTAGTCAGTGCCATCTCCAATGAACCTGGTTCTTCCAAAAAGACTCCTATCAACAGCAAAGTTAGGGCTCTTATTCAGGAATGTGAAGCCAAGAATGCTGAGATAGCTAGGCTCAAGGCTCATGTGGCAGAGGTGGAATTTGAGAGCGATGCTGTCAAAACTGAGCTTACCAAAAGAAAAGGAGAAGACTGATGAAATTCTTCATAATATGTTGAATCTTCTTCAAGCCCAAAACCAACCCTCTAGCTCCCCAAACCTTAGGAATCCTAACTTTTGTCTCCTGAACCTGTCTAGTACCTTCAGTGACCCGGATTACGGATTTTTCTATCTTTTTGCTCATGTTTTAAATGTTTTTGGCTTCTGGTTGCACTACAAGAAAAATCGCCTTTAGGGACGAGAATAATGGTCCCTAAAAGTCCGATTCTGGTCGTTAAATATCATTAGCGACCAGAACTGGTCGCTAGAAGCTTTGCCGCTAAAGGTCAGTAACGACGAGATTTAGTGGTCAGTCCTTAAAAACCTTTAACGACTAGTGTGATTTTGGTCCTTAATATACTTTCAAGGGCCACATTTCTAGTCCCTAAAGAATGATAAAAATGAATGTTAGATGCTGCATCTTGTGCCTATTAATTTTCAACGACAAGATTTTACAGGTCCTAATATGACTTTAAGGGCAAAATTTTCTGGTCCTTAAAGATCTTATGAAATGTGGTCGTTTTATGTCCTGCTTTTACGAAATATTATTCCATTCATAATGTATATGATGAATGCATATAGACAAACTTATCAATAATGTCTTCATATATATATATATA